TTTTTTTTTTGTACTGGGGATTGAACTAGGGTCCTTGCACTTGCAAGGCAGGCCACAGAATCACTGAGCTAAATCCCTGGTGTCCAATTTACCTCTTGAGAAATTAATTTTATTAAAGATTGAGAGTAAAACTGATGTGTGCATTCAAGAACTGTAGGAAGAGTCAAACTATAAAATTAACACAACGTACTAACATTCTGCAAGAGACTTCTAGGTTAACAAGAATTGCCTTATCCTTCAATGTTTAACATAGAGTCCACCAAAAAATGTAGACAGACTTCAGGAAAAGAAAAACTTGTAAAAATATTTAAATAATAAATCGAGACATCATGAGATTAATAAAAGTTACCTTTGGCTTCTACAACTACAAGAGGTATTCAATGTGGTGACCATTAGCATCCGGACATTTATTAGTATGGCCAACTGGTACTTGGGTAACCTTGGTCATTGAGATTGCTGCACATGTATTTTCAATTTCTTCTCAAGAGCTAACAATGCAGTGGGTTTTCTGGGATATATGACATCCTCTAGGGTCCCCCAAATGAAGGTAATACCATCTGTTGAAGAAACAGCATACTATTTTTCTTTTCCTGAAGTGTGTATACATGTTTTGGTGGACTCTGTATATTTAAAAGAACAAATCAAGCAGAAGAACCTTGCCAAGGAGTACCTGTACTGTAAGGTAGGTATGTTAGGTTCTCATAGCCTGGTTTCACTAAATGTGCCAGCCCATCTGCTTCTAACCCTAACCTGATACCAGGTATTCCAAGGAGACTGGTGATTGTGACTGAGTTTTTCACATAGGTCTGCTGGTCAGATGGAGTTAAATAATTTTTTTTCCCTTTCACTATAAATGATCTGATGATGTGGCCTCCAATGTAGGTTAGTGACCTAGACTGGAATTACTAAACAAAATACAATAAACTTGGTGGTTTATTAAAAGTAGAAATTTATTTCCCACAATTCTAAAAGCAAGGAAGTCCAAGGTTAAGGAACTTACATATCTTATGTCTGGTAAGGGCCCATTTCTTGGTTCACAGATGGTGTCTTCTTGTTTTATCTGCATATGTTGAAGAAGGCAGGCTAGTTATTTTAAGTGTTGACACTAATCGCAATTATGAGGTCAGAGTCCTCATGAACTAATAATTTCCCAAAGATTTCACCTTCTGATATCATCTTGGGAGCCAGAATTTCCAAATATGAATTTTGAGAGGAGATTACACTCAGACCATAGCAGTCTGCTACCAAAATGATGGGGGCATGAGGATGCTAGTATTGTGGCTATTCCATGGCTCATTGAAAATTAAGAAAGAGACATATAGGGTTTGCACAGTAGTCTTGTAAACTCAGTTTTGAATCTGTCCCTGAGTGATGACTTGGAAAGAGTGCTGACAAAATCAGATTTCTGAAGTCATGACATTAGGGGTCAAAGTCCTTGTCTTTGATTTTTAACTCTTCCCTTAGAGCCCTCTCCATGAGCCAAGAAATAAAGGAGGAAAGCCACTGGCTGCTCACTAAACATGCTCCCTGTTTTGGCAGAAACCTGAAGAACTGTGTGACTCTGAGGCACACCTCAATTACAATGGATTGTCAACTTGTGTGAAAACTAAACATCTACTGTGGAAACACAGAATTGCATTTGTCAATAGCATTTGGTCACATTTAATACACCATAACAAGAATGATCATTGTAGTAAATATCCACATTTTAACTTCAAAAAGGAAGGTTGTCCAAGGTGACTGTCTTCTTTCAGCTGATTAATTCTCATATATTCTTACGCTCGCTCTCCTGTCCTCCGTATTTCTCTCCTCTCCCCTGGCCTCTTCTCCATTTCTCTTACTTCTGTCTTCTTTCTCCTCTCCTCCTCTACCTTCCTCTACGCTCCACACTCCTCCCCCTTCACTCCTTTCCCTTCACCTTCCTCTAGTTCACAATATCACTGTTAACCCCTTAAACTAGCTCTCTTGACTGGATTCCTCTCATTTTTAAAATTTTACTGCTTTTGTCTTATTGTTCTCCATACAGAAAGCAACCACTGCATCTACATGGTTAAAAAAAAAAATAACCTCAAAAGTCAGTTCCATTAAATAATAACATTGATCCCTGGTACCAAAAAAGGTTATTATTATTATATGTCTCCCTCATCAATCTCACCAAATGTTAAACTTTGAGAACTTAAAATACCATCCTTGAAAAGCTAATTTCTATAATAATGTAACAATTTTAAAATCTGGAATTCCAACTATGAATAAACATGAAGTCAGAAGTAAACTGCTATGGTTGGAGGGGTAATCAGGTGAAATGAATTGTTTTATGTTCCCTGCACAAGACCAAAGAGCTCACATTAAGTCTCCCTTGTTCATTCAGGACAGGAGGATGTAATGAGAGTGGGAGTAACCAGAAAAGTCTGTATTAGAAATCTGCAAAGAAGACAAGGCCTATGTAGAAGGAATATGAAAAATGGAACCCACTGGGAACAGTAGCCAGGGGGATAGGTCTTAGTTTGGCCACTGAATTCTGGATGACTTTGAGTACTTCTCCTCATTCTCACCAGGCCTCAGGAGGAAATAAGGTACAAGTGCAAGATATCCAGAGTCATAGCAAGCTGTAAACAAATTACAAAATGAATAATATCCTTATAACTGAATGCCAGGACCTTTGCATTGAGGTATATCCTAAGTCCTTTTTGCTTTTTGTATTTTTTATTTTGAGACAGGGTTTGCTAAGTTGCCCAGACAATTTTAGAATCTCCCACCTTATTCTCCTGGAATGCTGGGAGAATATGTATGTGCCACCATTCCCAGCTAAGATTTATTTTTTAAGCATCAGAATAATCAAGAAAAAGTACTTAGTGAGTTCAGGTTATAAAAAAATAGCTAGAGAACTGGAATGGCACTGGCATAGTTCTCAGTGAAACTCGGGACTCCAGGAGACACTAACCATCTGTTTCACCAAAATAATTCTGATGCATTCGCTCTTCATAAGAATAAATGTGAGTCCTGTGTCTTTTCTAGCTGTCTTTACTAATGGCTGTGTCTGGGAAATAGACAGCTGTGTGTGTACTAGGGGCCTCCTCAAGAATCTCACCCTAACATTAGAGTCACCTGGATCAGTTTTCAGGAGCCAGTGATCTACAGTGGTGGCGGGGGGCGGGGAGGTCCTTTCAACTTCTTTAGATTATCTGCTTCCTTCTAAAAACTTGCTGTGTGTGTGTGGGGGTCATACTCTCAATAAATGTATATTTATCTATTTACAAGCCATATGCATGCAACAGATATATTGTTCTTTTTCCTTTAAGAAAATATATGCATAACAAAATTTTAAAATGCGAGTAAAAATACAACATATTTAATTTCTATAATAGTTTACTTCAAGTAGCAATGTGATTCAATATCTCTTAACTTTTTAGAAAACTACATTAAATGCTTTGTCAGATTCAAAGAAAAACTGTTAGCTGTCTTTGCTAAACTATGGTGTTCATTTCATAACACACTAATTATGTTTAGTAAAATTTCTATCTTCCTTATGTTTTTCAGCTTTTTAAATTCTAATTGAAAGATACTGTATTTATATATTTTAAAATATGGATTTAAACTTTATCTTTTTATCTGAAAGATTATTGATCAAGTTAAAAAATTTCATTTCCATAATTTTTAGGTGTTCTTTTAGAGTTTTAAAGAAGTGATACAACCTATTATCTTTGGCAAGACCATCATATAAAGATGTAACATTTTCAAAAATCCTATTTTGAATGTTCTGTCATAGCAGGATTTCTTTGATAAAGTTCTTATTTTCATTACTATTGTCATTATTAGCTTGAAAACACAAATTAGGTGTTAATGTTTTAAAAATATTTTTACAGAATACAGTATTCTTATCACCAGAAAGGTAAGCAAACTTGAAATAGTATTTGTTTTGTTTTGTTTTCAAAAAGAAATTATTCTGGGACCAGGAATTAATTTAGCTTAGTGGTTCTGCTGCCTGCCTTGCAGGTGCAAGGACCTGAGTTCAATCTCCGGCATTAAAAAAAAGAAAAAATTATACTGTTATATTGGCTACATTGCAAGTGCAAGGTGGGTTTGATACCAAAAAGAAATGAAATTATATCAGCAACACTTTTAAGTATACAAGGAAGAGACATCCAGTGAACCCAATACAGATGTACATGACTCCTGACATTTCTCTGCTATTGTGAATATCTCACTATTTAAGAAAATTAAACTCATAAATCTGCTTAACTGGACTTATGAAAGCAGGAATAAGGCATAAGGTGGTGAAAGCAAATAGAAGATCAAAGGGGCCCACTGTCAATCTCTTTGCATGCAGAAGTCCATTTCCTTTAGGCGACTTCATACCAGATTTCCCAGAAAATAAGACCTAACTAGGAAATAAGCTGTAGCATGATTTTTCAGGATGCTCATCATCCCTACCCCTCAAATAAGCCCCAGTTAAGATCATCAGCCAGATGAACACATTCAGTACATCTACTGCAACACATGATGGAAGTATTGAATTATATGCTATTTATATTAATTAAATATAAAGAAATTAATATTATTAATATCAATACTTAAATGATAATATAAATTATAACTAAGTGTTATGGCTTGTATTTAGATGTCCTCCCGCAAAGCCTCATGGATCATAGGCGGGACTTTTTCAGAGGTGGCTGGATCTAGAGTGTGTGATGCTGGAACTGACTCATGGTGCAATGCTAGCTAGGCTCAAGTCTGTATAAAAGGGGCAGAAAGACACTGTTAAGATCCCTTGTTGCTTTTGCTATGTTCTGCCCACCATGAATGTTCTCCTCTTCAAAGCCATCCTGCGTTGAAGCCAGCCAATTATGTTTTTTTTAAGACAGGGTCTCATTATGTAGTTGAGACTGACCTGGAACTCACTATGTAGCCCAGGCTGGTCTCGAACTCACAGAGAAAGCCAGCCAATTATGGGCTGAAACATCTAAAAACTGTGAGCTAAATCATTCCTCCTTTAACTTTGGGTATCAGGTATTTTGTCTCACCAACAAGAAAAGTAATTAACACACTAATATTTGTAAATACCCAAGTGGGCATATTTAGAGAAGAGGCAAATGCCTATGTAAACAAATGAGCTCGAGATCTATTGAAAAATGATTAATAAGAGTATAAACAGAACACATGAATAATGTGTGCACTTGATAATGGTCAGATGTGGTTATATATATTAATTTTTCATAATTAAATATGTTGTGCATTGTAACAGACATAATACACTCATGTGAAATAAAGATATGTTTTCTGAATTTTGCTGCCTGAAATTTTTTTGTCACTTGTGTGTGGACCATCATTCTTAACTGTCATTTTTCTTGCTACTCATGTGTCATAAGTCTTCAATTAATATTTGATTTAATGGAAACTGTGAAATCTAGCCTGCAAGTGATCATGACTTGGATGTAAAATTCATGTGATAAAATCACTGACAGCTGTGTTGTCAATGTACTACATGTAGGCTACACCACAAAGTGCTCATTTAAGGACAGCTCTAGTGCTGGACATGAGAGATTGGGGCCAATGTCTCTACAGGAAATGGAGTCATAAGAAATTCAGTCTGGAATTTGGAGTTTGGAAAGTTATGATAATGTTCTGGAAGATGACATGACTGAATTTGAATAAATGTAAATGTTTGTACACTAATAATGTAAATTGCTGTATATAAATAAATGTAGCTCATTGAACATGAAAAAATAAGACACTTCCCTGAAAATAAGTCCTATTGCATCTCTTGGAGCAAAAATTAATATAAGACCTGTTCTTATTTTGGGGAATTATGGTAGATGATACATGAATGACCCACACAAAGGGCATCTGGAGGCACCAGCTGTTAGTGTCTAAAGAGTAAAATTTACTAATATGTTTCAATGGTTTTTTTGGAAAAAATTAAGAAATTTCATTTTTTCCCTCTATACTTCGAATTATCTTTGTATAGTCACTATGTATGTACATACACTACTTTGGAGATCACTGGCTAAGAGTCATGGCTTTGATTTTTTTTTTTTTTTTTTGGTACCGGGGATTGAACTC